TTTTATGTGTTTTTTTTTGCGTTTTTTACCACTACTTCGCCACCTATAGATGGTTCTGCACCAAATTTGGTGTGGAGGTTCACTTGGTCCCTGGGGAGATACGAACAAATTTACAGTTTTACATTTTGCGTTTTGCGGTTTTTATGTTTTTTTTGCGTATTTTACCACTACTTCGCCACCTATAGATGGTTCTGCACCAAATTTGGTATGGAGGTTCATTTGGTCCCTGGGGAGATACGAACAAATTTTCAGTTTTACATTTTGCGTTTTGCGGTTTTTATGTGTTTTTTTTGCGTTTTTTACCACTACTTCGCTACCTATAGATGGTTCTGCACCAAACTTGGTATGGAGGATCATTTGGTCCCTGGGGAGATACGAACAAATTTTCAATTTTACATTTTGCGTTTTGCGGTTTTTATGTTTTTCTTTGCGTTTTTTACCACTACTTCGTCACCTATAGATGGTTCTGCACCAAATTGGGTATGTAGGTTCATTTGGTCCCTGGGGAGATACGAACAAATGTTCAGTTTTACATTTTGCGTTTTGCGGTTTTTATGTTTTTCTTTGCGTTTTTTACCACTACTTCGCACCTATAGATGGTTCTGCACCAAATTTGGTATGGAGGTTCATTTGGTCCCTGGGGAGATACGAACAAATTTTCAGTTTTACATTTTGCGTTTTGCGGTTTTTGTGGGCCTTTTTTAAACATCACTTCCCCCCTTTTGATGAATCTTCACCAAATTTGTCATGAAGGTTTGTTGGGTCCATGCGGAGATACAAGCAAAGTTGTGGCCTCACGTTTTTTGTTTTTCAGTTTGTATGGGCGTTTTTTTTTATAATTATGTATAAGGGAAGCAACTTTTCATGTTCTAAGGTAACCTTTCATTAATCATTAGTTTACATAACTTCATTCCAGGGGACGGGTACTCCAACTAATATCAAATAAACTATAAACATCATGAATGTAAGATACTTGAAATCAGACACAACAAAAAATTACCTTCATTGTTTCACCATCACAGGAAGTGAACCTGAACATGTTAACAATTACCTTCATTGTTTTACCATCACAGGAAGTGAACCTGAACATGTTAACAATTACCTTCATAGTTTCACCATCACAGGAAGTGAACCTGAACATGTTAACAATTACCTTCATAGTTTCACCATCACAGGAAGTGAACCTGAACATGTTAACAATTACCTTCATAGTTTCACCATCACAGGAAGTGAACCTGAACATGTTAACAATTACCTTCATTGTTTCACCATCACAGGAAGTGAACCTGAACATGTTAACAATGCAAAGATAATGAAGTTCTGGTACATGTCCTGGAATATCCTGTCATTAATGAAGCAGTGATGAAGTTCTGATGGATGTCTTGGAATATCCTGTCACTAATGGAGCAGTGATGAAGTTCTGATGGATGTCTTGGAATATCCTGTCACTAATGAAGCAGTGATGAAGTTCTGATGAATATCTTGGAATATCCTGTCACTAATGGAGCAGTGATGAAATTCTGATGAATATCTTGAAATATCCTGTCACTAATGGAACAGTGATGAAATTCTGATGGATGTCTTGGAATATCCTGTCATTAATGGAACAGTGATGAAATTCTGATGGATGTCTTGGAATATCCTGTCACTAATGAAGCAGTGATGAAGTTCTGATGGATGTCTTGGAATATCCTGTCACTAATGAAGCAGTGATGAAGTTCTGATGGATGTCTTGGAATATCCTGTCACTAATGAAGCAGTGATGAAGTTCTGATGAATATCTTGGAAAGAACTGTAATCAATGATAGGATTCTGGTAGATTTCATAGAATTGCCCGAAAAAATTCTTTTTTTACTCAACTTTTAAATACGTTGGTAAACTTCGAGTCTTTTGTGTCCTGGTGCAAATAATCTTGTTTACTGAAAACAAAAAACAATATTAGAATTGTCAGGTTTCAAGCACTTCTAAACGACACCAACATTTTTCAGATTAGATTAGAGTTGACATGATACCCTCACACCTTTATGGTTACTTATGAAATCCCTGTTTTTGTACAGATTCTGATAAGTGCTATCGATCTTTCTATTGTTTACGTTACAGTCACATTAAAAGTAATACTCTTCTGCGTTATTCGTAAGAAACACGATACTCAAAATGGTGACGATTTTTCTAACAACACAAATATTTAAGTTTCAATGTTGTTTTTTTATTAACGTAGTTTACTACCCAAAATGGTGACGATTGTTCTAAGAACACAAATCTTTAAGTTTCAATGTTTTTTTATTAACGTAGTTTACTACCCAAAATGGTGACGATTTTTCTAACAACACAAATATTTAAGTTTCAATGTTTTTTTTTATTAACGTAGTTTACTACCCAAAATGGTGACGATTTTTTTAACAACAAAAGTGTTTAAGTTTCAATGCATTTTATTAACATAGTTTACTACCCTTAATGTTGAAAAACAATACAGTTTCTTGAAAACGGATCTTATTTCTTCAGTGCTCATATTGCAAGTTATATTAGCTCAATTTGACATTTCTAACACGTTTCCTGTTTCCTTTGTTTTACACACCGATCTTTAACTCGGTTTATTGTAAGGTGTTATACTAACGATATCATTGTACTAGTAAGTAGGTTTAACGGTTTATAGTAGTGAGTTATAAAAACAGTAGGTATTAGAGTATTAAACCGTTAAACCTATTTATTGGTAATAACAGTAGGTGTCAGAGTACCAATAAATAGGTTTAACGGTTTATTGTAAGGTTTTATAATAACAGTAGGTGTCAGAGTGCCAATAAATAGGTTTAACGGTTTATTGTAAGGTGTTATACTAACAATATCATTGTATCTCGCTTGTGTCATCACCGCCAGTAGTTATTACAGTATTTTAAGCTTGTTTAAAAACCACCAGTAGTTATTACAGTATTTTAAGCTTGTTTAAAAACCACCAGTAGTTATTACAGTATTTCAAGCTTGTTTAAAAACCACCAGTAGTTGTTACAGTATTTTAAGCTTGTTTAAAAACCACCAGTAGTTATTACAGTATTGTTGAACCACTTACATTGATTGCAACTCCTTCGTTCTGAGACAGAAACCGCCAAAATAAACTAAAACAAAATCAACAACTCCACAGTGGCCCAGAAAACTTATAGTGCTAAACCTCGAGGTTCGATCTCTGTGGAGGGCATAGTTTAGCCTTTGTAGGTTTTGCGCTATGTAAATCTTCTGTTGAATTTTGAATACCTTAGAACAAAGAAGTAAATCTTCTGTTGAATTCTGAACACCTTAAAACAAAGAAGTAAATCTTCTGTTGAATTCTGAACACCTTAAAACAAAGAAGTAAATCTTCTGTTGAATTCTGAACACCTTAAAACAAAGAAGTAAATCTTCTGTTGAATTTTGAATACCTTAAAACAAAGAAGTAAATCTTCTGTTGAATTCTGAACACCTTAAACCAAAGAAGTAAATCTTCTGTTGAATTTTGAATACCTTAGAACAAAGAAGTAAATCTTCTGTTGGATTTTGAATACCTTAAAACAAAGAAGTAAATCATCTGTTGAATTTTGAATACCTTAAAACAAAGAAGTAAATCTCTGTTGAATTTTGAATACCTTAAAACAAAGAAGTAAATCGTCTGTTGAATTTTGAATACCTTAAAACAAAGAAGTAAATCCTATGTTGAATTTTGAATACCTTAAAACAAAGAAGTAAATCGTCTGTTGAATTTTGAATACCTTAAAACAAAGAAGTAAATCTTCTGTTGAATTTTGAATACCTTAAAACAAAGAAGTATATCGTCTGTTGAATTTTGAATACTTTTCTAGTTTCTATTACTTTGTTCTACGCCGTGCCTACTGCCAAAATCGAACCCCGCTTATTAACGTTACAAGCCTTCGATCTTACCGTGTGGGGGTGGGGGGGGGGAGGTGGTACATAACAGAACTGGACGTTTATAGTGGTATTTAATAAAGATATTTATGCCAAGAAACATTTTTAGGCATATAGATAAACTTGAAATAACTTAACTCTGAGCAATAATTTCTCATCGGTTTAAAAATGGCACGATTGTAGTAAAGTACACTGTTTTGTTTTTAATAAAACCAGATCAAGTACGTAGCTTTTGGTCATCTCTCAAAAGTTCGTTAAAAACACACACACACATATACTTGTGGAATACGAACAGGGGGCGTTGCCTGTCTAACGTAAACATTCTACACGTGTTTAGTGTCACTTTTCAACCCAATTTGGGAGGGAAGTAGCTCGTGTCGGGAATGGACGATTTCTGTAAAAATGTTCTTTCTTTGCCAGTCTGTCAGCAATAATGTTCTAGCTACTTACTGAAACTGTAATTTTTAAAAATTCCATCTATTCATATATTAAGTTTCCAATATTTATCAGGACTGTTTTACGTGGAGGTAACAAGAGTCATATTCACGTTTCTAAAGAACTGTCAGATGATCTTCATGATGGATTAGACATTCAATCACTCCAGTCAACTTACTGACCTCTATCAGTTTCAGTGTGACTGACCAACTTTAACTAATCTTTACGTTGTGCTGTTCCTTTTACGTCACTAAAATCTTGACATCTTCCTAAAAATAAGTACAATAACAAACGTATCCACACATAACTGCATATATAGTATTAATATTAAATTATCTGTGCTTTAATAACTGGCTAACAACGTTCAGTACAACACTTACAATACATTTGTGCATTTCTTCGTTGCATCTGTTTAATGCCAGCTGCAACCAAATCTGTGTCGGATAAAGTTTATGCAACTACACTCATTGTCATAGGCAGCAATTTTGGAGAAGTCAGGCTATTGTCACATTGCCATTTCTGGGGGGGGGATGCCTCCCCAGAAAGTTTTTAAAAATTTAATGCTATGAGATTGAATCTTGAGCCATTTTAACTAGAAATACTGCATACACACACA